GGTATCCACCGACTCTCCGTCTTTTTGTTTCTCATCGAAGAGTGTCCTGACCGACACTTCGGTGTCATCATCGAAGAAATGAGCGAGGAACATGCTCTCCAGGTCCTCCCAGCTGTTGATGCTTCCGGGCTTGAGGCGGCGGTACCAATCGAAGGCGGGCCCGCGAAGGGTGCCAACAAATGACCGGACCATCAGAGGCTCGTTGCCAGAGATCACTCCCAAATGGGACTTGAAATAGATCAGGTGCTGAGTGGGGGAACCTTTCCCGTCGAACGGCGTGAAGTTGATCAGGTTGAACTTCGCCGGATACGGAATTGATTCCCATTCTTTCGGGTAAGGACACGGAATGCCGGTCTTCTTCACCTCTCGAGCAGACATCAGGGCGTCAATTTTTCTTTCGAGATCCTTCATCTTTTCGGCCTCATCTATATCCTGTTTTGGACAATTTTCGAGAGGAATAATACGGCCACCCCCAGTGTTATCATCATTGGTGGGTCTACCCCCAGCGTCGTTATTTTTAGTGGGGCCACCCCCAATATTTTTGGGCGGTGCGTCGGCCATGATGATTTCGTCCAATTTCGGATCGCTGTCAACTGCGGCGTTCTGGGTGTGACGGCTGGATTCAACTAGCTGATTTGACAAAGCTCGGATTTGTTGGTCGTGCATTTGTCTCATCTCCTGCATAGCCATTTTCATTTCGATTTTGAATGCTTCTTTCTGCTTGGCTAGAGCATCCTCAATGATTTTGGCTATTTGCTCGGTGTTGATCATGAACACTTCTCGAGCTTGTCCTATGCTAGATGTTGTATCGTCGGAGGCGAGTGCGGAATAAGAATCTGAGAGTTCGTCATCGGAATGGATTCCTTCATGGATCCCATGGTAATCGTTATATCCGACGGCTTCTAGCTGAAGCTGAGCTATTCCCGAATTGACTCTGCTTCCTGGAGAAAAATTAGGGTCGGAACCACTTGAAACAATTGGAGATTTTCCCTTGTTGACCATGTTGATGGTAACTTCTGGGAATTCATCATCTCGAGCAACCGATCCTCTTAGGTGGAAACGCCTTGATTTGGGCTTCGTCGTTCCATCGGAGATCCTCTCGAATACCGAGACCCTCTGTGGAGCGGTCTTGGGGGAGCTACACGCTGATAATACTGCCATGATAATTTTAGTACACGAACAGTGAGAGTCCGTTTCTCGGGTACTTCTCTTTCGAGATTTATTCGTACCCCCAGCCCGATAGTACAACTCATCGACGTTGCGGTCAGAGCAACCTATCGGCTGTTTACATGAATTCTCAGGTATAACGCATTCTTCTGTCTGACGCGTTTTCATCTGAGTAAACATCGCCTTGTTGGCGTCTACAGGAGTCACACGCTTGGAATCACACCTTCGTGAGGGTGAAACTTTAACGGGCTCCTGGTTTTCTGCACGCACCTCCAAGAGGGCTGTTGTAGAAATCAATTTGTTAGGAGGTCGCGTACGACCCCCAGTCCGGATGTTGGCTCGAAGCTCCTTCAACGATCTCCAGCTTTCCTTAACAAGCGCTTTTCCTCGATTCTCGGGTAGGGAACCAATACGATCCTTCAGAGGAATCCTGAACTTGGGGTAATCCACGCTGCGGTAGGGCCTTACCGGAGGTTCGAGATCTGAAGTTGACGAAGGCCGGAGAGCAACGTCGCCTGCTTTTGCCTTAGGCGCTGACTTGGCTCTTGACACCCAAATTTGTTTGGATCTCGGCGATCTCTTAACTGCCTCTTCCTTTTGTATTTCTTGTGCTTTTCGCACAAGGGTCCGGGCATTCGCAAGCAAGGTGCGACGCTTCTGGATTCGTTCCTCGAGAGTAGAGCGGGTTCTTTGGACACGAACCCATCCGTTAATTGGAGATCGAGAGGAGGATTCTGATGCTGGTCGTGGTGACAGATTAGCCACTTGGCGCTTTCTGAGCTCCAGATCTGCTTGGTAATGGAGACCATCCATCTGATCCAAAGCCTTGGCGAATTGGCGCGCGAGGCGTTGTCGTTTCCTTTGACGTGCTCTCTTTGATAGAGTTGGCTCACCTTCAGCAGTCGACTCCTTAATCGTGAAGGAGTTCAGATCTGCAAATTTGGCTTCATTGAACGCCAGTGGATCATTGCAAGGTGCAACAGCAACAGTGGCGGAGAGATCGTCTTCTTGGATCTTCAGATCTAAAGACCAGCAGATCTTTCTGGAGGAGGAGGCACTCTTGCACTTGCCAGGAGAGACGGATCTGGAGGAGGGATCTTTCTGGAGGAGGAGGCACTCTTGCACTTGCCAGGAGAGACGGATCTGGAGGAGGAGGCACTCCTGCGCTTGCCAGAAGAGGCGGATCTGGAGGAGGAGGAGGAGACATACTCCTCGAACTTCTGCTGGTCGAACTCGTATTCGACCTCTTCGAGCACCGGGATCTTGATCGTCGGCTGCGGCACGACAGCTCCGGCAGCGAAGCTGTTGGCTCCCACTGTGGTCGTCAGTTTGTTTGCGGAGAAAGTTGATGTTTTTATTGCTATCGAATCTATTACAACTTTAGTCGTTACAATAAACTCGAATAAAATAAAAAGTCGATCTTTTTATAAGATCTCCTTACATAATGAAAATAAAAAGTTTACAACTTTATCAAACAAACGCAGAGATTGTTTATCGGTCTTCTGCTTGCGTGGGTGTCTTTGCCTGTGCCGGGGTTTATCCGTGGACCACCGTCGATCAGATCTGATTGCTGAAAAATTGGGCAGAGCTTTGTCGATCCGCGAGGAGATCTAGAAACTGAAGCGCCTATCTCGGAAAAAGCGAGATATTTACTCTTCTTAGGATTACCGACGAGGGGTAATGCTAAGGATTGGGTGCGGGTGATGTAGATCTGACGAAGAACTCTCTTGCGTTGAAGAACTAGATCCGATCTCTCCTCCTCCTCTCTTGAAATCTGTGCACTTTAAGTCTTCAATCCGGCAGGGCTTCGCCAAGGCACGAGAATTCCAGATCTCGAAAAATAAGGCCTAAGGCTTGTATTTATAGGCTTGAGGGGATAACGGAGCGGTTAAAACTGATCGAAAATCATCAAAAACACGTCCCAAGTGCGAGACAGCTCGGGGTGTCTCGCACCTGTGCGAGACAGTCTGTCCCCTCTTCAGTATTTTGGTCATAACTTCCTCATATGACATCCAAATGATCTGATTCCGGATTTGATAGAAAGCTGACAAAAATATCTACAACTTTCTTGTTTTGAGTTTCTTTAGATTCAAAACGGATCATGATCAAAAAAGCTCCACAAGTTCCGAGACACCTTAGGGTGTCTCGGCCAAGTCAAGACACCCCAAGGGTGTCTCGGCCAAGTCAAGACACCCCAAGGGTGTCTCGGCGCTATTTTAGTCATAACTTTCTCATATGATCTTCAAATGATCTGATTCCAGATTTGATGGAAAGCTGACAAAAATATCTACAACTTTCCTGTTTTGAGTTTCTTCAGATTCAAAACGGATCATGGTCAAAACAGCTCCACAATGTCCGAGACACCTCGGGTGTCCCAGTTCAGCCTGAGACGTTCCGTTATGCCCGTTTGTTCGTTTTCACCATAACTTCTTCATCCGAACTCAGATTTGAACGATTCAAAGTGCGTTGGGAAGCCGACGAGGTGTTCTATAAGCTCCAATGATTAGATCATCTGTTGAATGCATGAGACACGAAGGGCGTTGTTCCTTTTGTAAACACCGCGGGGTTCTCGATTAGCCCGTGCCTTCGTTATCCCGAAATTCTGTCAGCTCACGTAGTTCGTCGGTTTACTTCAATTGTTCACCGACGTTAGTCGAACTCCTGTGAACCAGATAGTGACGTTCATTATCGTTCCTTAACACTGAGCTGTTCGTGGAGACCTATAGGCAATTTTCGATGCCTACAATCCTCAAGTTAAGTTATACCAACTTGAGAGAAGACCATTTGTAAACTTTCATTTGATTATAGTGAAAATAGTGAAGAAGGGGCGGGTGAGGACGTAGGCTCAATTTGAGCTAAACCTCGATAAATCTTGTGTGTGCAATCTCTTTATTTTTCTGTTTGTTTCTCTTCTATTTTTTTCGTTCTCATCTCATCACAAAGACGAGAAAGGTCTTGTTGTACTGTTAATTTCCCAACATCAATCGCTACTCTCTCTAGTAGACGTTGTGTGGAGAAATTTGTTGGGGTTCCTTAAACAATGCCTACGGGCCTCGTGCACTTTGTTTTGTTCGTGGTTATCCTCTTTTTGATGATTTTGTTGTCAATCCTCCATGTTTAGAGCATGTTTGGTAATCGGTCAACGGGGCTTGTAAGCCAAAAAGTCAACGGGTCTTTATAAGCCATTTTTTGGCTTACAAGCCAATGACGTGTGTTTGACAACCAGCTTATATTGGTTTACAACCCAAAGAAAAAAAGAAAAAAAAAACCCAACCTAGTTTTTTTTTTCTTGGCTTATAAGCTACTAATTAGTTTGACCAAGTAATTGACAAATTTACCCCTCAACATTTTGGTAATTCTAAGGTGTATTCAGATGTTCAAATTTGGAGCCATATACTTTCTTGTCATTCAACAAGAATGATGGATTATAATCCATCAATTTGACAAACTAATAAGCAGCTTATAATTTTTTTTTTAAACCAAACATTTTGGCTTATAATCCACTTAGCTTATAATTCACAAACATGCCCTTACAATGACTCTCTATGTTAGATCTTACGATGATATCGATACAATAGACAGATGATATCGTAGCAATACACGGGATGTATCCCTCAGAATTTCCGAGAGAAACCCTTCCACTTCTATATAACTTAATTTAACTTCAATTAATTCTTAATCGACTTCAAGTCTTAATTAGCCTTCCAACTACAGACAACTAACAAGGAGTCAGGCCTTGGGTTGGCATACCTTTCACGGTTAAAACTCCATGTATTCAAATAATATATCTCATCACCTTACTTCAGAGAGTAACATCGTGCAAGCACCATCTCTTCAATAATACTATCACTGCAATCTCAGCAGCACTACCATCGTGCAAGCAAAATGCATTAGCTTTTAAGTTTCCAGGTTCCACAAAATAATTATTCTGGGCACAATATATTCGGCCCAGGAAACTAGAATACATGGATAAACGTCACCAGATCTCCCACAAACACAACTTGCATCACAACAGTCGTATAATACTACAGATAACAAGACTTTGTCGATTACGATAACGGTGGAAGCATGAGCTTCAGCTCAGAAACCGTGTATCTTGATGTGCTCTTTCTTCACGATCCCAGCCTAATAACCAAAAAGAAGATTGCAACAAACATCAGCAATCAACAAAAAGAAAATTAAATAATACATGGAGACTGGTAAACTTTGCTTTGTGCGTCAAAATGTTGGGAACTTAAGAAACTGACATATGCAAATATAAGCATCGGACGACAAATGGGAATGTTACGGTGGACGAGTTGGTATACACCAAGAGAGGACAAGAAATGAGCCGCGGGGAAGTCGGACATAACTCATATTGCGGCTGGGATGAAAGAGATAGGTTTTGATCATAATGCAAGAAAGGCCATTAAAAAACAATTTAGGAAAAGTTAGAATATCATAATTAATGGAGAAATGATGACTTGAGGTACGCCTAAGTGTACTAATCAGAAGCACTTAAAAGAATATGTTAAACTAGTGCAGGAGAACAACCCCAACAGAATTAAATGGTTGAAATTCATGTAGCTGACCCCAAAAATTGGGATGAATACTTTGTTGTCATTATGGTGGAAACTGATTATGTACCTGAACTAGGAAGGTGGAGACATTTTTGCGCTGGTCGCCTTGGAGCTGAATAACCTTTAGAAGAAACAAGACAAGCTTTAGTCCACTACAATCAATATGGAACTCACAAGGAACCGGCTAAATGGTTAAATACAGATTTAGGCAGACCTGGCCCAGCTCAGGATCCTGAACGACGGTACCATTGCAGCAGAACTCCTTCTTGAGGTCTTTCAAGATCTTAGAATAGCTGAATTCTTTCTTCAGCCCTTGCACTGTTGTCAGGCTCTTTCTACCGTTCCTCTGCTGTATGCGCACATGCACATACTCCTTCGACCCAGCACCAGAGTCGTCAGCATTGGCTTCAGCAAATGGATCTGAACAACAAGCACGGAAGATTCATTTAGAACTACGTAAGATTCACACCACGAGTTTTGAGAATGTATCACAACCTCCAACGACAAAACTTTTATTTATTTGGCTTTGTATGCATTAAATATCGTACTTTACTCCTAACGTTACCCTTTATTTCGAAGCGCAAGCATTTTAATCACGCATGAGACAAATGTCCCTTGCTTGTAGAATATAGGGGGTTGGTTCAATTTCTACAAATTATAGGAAATGTTTTCCACCCAAAATATGATTTCCTTGTATTTCTTTAAAAAATTATAGGAAAAATTTTGAGAAGTCAAAAAGTATTATTTTTTTTTACTTTGCTTGTTTGATTCAAAACAAGAAAATGGTCCATAACTTTATAGAAAATAACAAGATTTTCTACAAAGGAGAGGAATAATTCAGGTTAACAAATGTTGTTTATGCTCTGGGGCTGAATCAGAGGACCGTAATCACCTATTTTTCAGATGTTAGTTTTCGAAGGATGTCTGGAATGGGATTATGGAATGGTTTAACTTTAATTGGAGGACATGTGAATGGGAGCGGCTGGTTAATTGGTTCAATTGTAGGTTGAAGGGAAAATGTTTTAAACAAAAAACCAAGAGAATGGTATTTTCAGCTGCAGTTTATTGTATTTGGAGAGAAAGAAATGATAGAATTTTTAATCAAAGAAACCATAATACTGAGCAGCTGATCAAGAGCATTAAAATGAAAATTCTAACCAACATCCTCAACAATAACAAGCTCTCATCTGAACATAAAGACTGGATTTTATCCCTATAGTCAGCATATTGTTCCTGGATCTAGTTGCTGGTTACTTTGTACAGGTTATGCACTGTGCCACATTGTGCAGTTTGGTAGAGCTGTGCTTATTTGATGCTTGTGCATAATGAATCAGGAGGCTGAAGCTATCTCCTGTAGTCATTTCCTGCTGTTACTAGCATTGAAGCCCCTCCCTGTAGATAATTTTGCTCTGCTGTGGTGTTCTGTACACATGTCTGGTTGTGTACAGGACTATCTGGTCGTGTTCATGATAATCTGGTTCAGATAATACTGTTGGTATCATGATTGCCTGGTTCAGATTCAGTAAAGGAACCATAAAGAGAAGAAGATGCTACTACTGGGAGTTGGCCCAAGAGATAAATTTGAAGCTATGCACAGTGTGTGTGCAGGTTTTGTTAACTGTTTCTTAGTTTTTGTTATAGCTAGGTCTTGAGCTTTAGCTATAGGTTTTGATTTGTTATCTCAATTACATATTCATGTTCTTGAGATTCTTGATGTACAAAAAACTTTACATATTGGTGATGAATAAAATTTTTCATTTACCAAAAAAAAAACAAGATTTTCTATAATTTGTAGAAATTGAACCAAACACTCCCTAAATTTATAGAAAATGCTAACTTTATAGAAAAGTGTCAATGTGGTGTCAGATTTCTGGGTGATTTCCGCCCATTTTGAGAGGAAATTGATTTCTGTAAATTTTGGTACTTTTTTGTACTTCACAGAAAACATTTTTGTAAATTGTTTTGAACCAAACATAGTTTACGGAAATCTACAAAAAAATTTTAATTACAAAATTATCATTGTCAGACATTTTGAGAAAGCTTTTCTACAAAATTGTGCAACCAAACACCCCCCAAGGTCTCCTTGAAATGAAATTGCCACATTGTACAGGAATATCAAGTTAACACTTGCTCATCTCATAGAGAGGGCTCTAGAGCATGCTTATCAAAGCTAAAGGCTCAATCAAGTAAAAAAGACACAATTCATGGTATAACGGAAATTGCTAATCGTCAAATTGCAACCACAGAATCACCCGCTAAGCCAACACTATATAGCAGTTAGATTATTCATGTACAAAGTACTCAACTTCATACACGTACCAAAGGCGGTTGGAATATGGACGTCGAGATCAGACATGTACTTTGGTTGTTGAGCAAGGGTGCAATAGACCAAAGCTTTTCCTTTCGACCTCGCTTTCGTAACGGCGAAGAGCCCAAAATCTGCAGCAACAAATTTACCCATCAGCTACCCCGTATACAAAAACATGAACAAGATGCCCCTCTCATTTATCCATAATAATCGAAGGATTCACGGTTTGATATGGTTTGGTGACCCTAAACACACAAATCCTTGGCAAAATAGAAGATCAAACAATTTGCCCACAAACCCCTTTCACGAAATTTCAGTAAAAAATAACAGGGTTAATGCGTCATAAGCCTATAAAATCTAAAACATTTAAAAAAAAACCCCTGATCGAATTTAATCCTCTCCACACCTCAATCGCAAATCTACCCAGAAAAGAATTCAGAAAAAAAATGCCCGAAATCGATCTAACGCAATCAACAGCAGAAATAGAACAAATTTTGAACAAAATAAAAAGGGGAGGAGATCAACCTCAGCGGTTGATGAGACTCCCCCCAAAACCGAGCGGTGGAGGTCTATTTATTATTCAATAATTATAATTGTTTTTATATTTATTATATATTTAGAAGGGATCTATTTCTAACTGTACCACACAATTGACTCGCTCGAGGACCCGACGGATGCCGGTCGGATCGGACGGCTGAGATTCGGTTGGTGAGAGACTGGGTCCGTTTTCTATCGTCAAATGACACCGAGCGATGTTTGTACGCCGTACACGTGGAGGAGGATAAGTCCTGATGATATTTTATTATTTTTTTGGAAAATGCAAAGGAAAAGGAATAATGAAAGAAGATGCCGTGCCTTTCAGCCCGGACAATAATTAAAGAAGGTACCGTTTGCCAAACATAAAAAATATAGAAGAATTAAGTTAACTCCTATAAAGGAATTAAAATGAATTAACCCCTTAAAATAAAGAGTTTACTAATACTTCTCTTTAGAAGGATTAATTGTTAACCCTCCTAGTTATAAAGAAAATAATCAAAATCATTGTTATTCCTAAAGGCCCCGTTTGGCAAAGGGTTAAGGAGAAGGGATTAAAGAGAAGGGTTAACTTAGTTAATCCATCATGAAGGGTTAAAAAATTCTAAACCCGTTTGGATACGATAGTTAAGACAAGAGGTTAAGTCTTTTGTGTTTGGCAAATGAAGAGGGGTTAAGGAGATTAATCTCATGATTTTTTTTAAAAAATACCACTTTCGCCCTTATTGAAGATTTATAATACAACAATATTCAAAGATCCATTATTTTCCAATCTGAAAGGACCTCCAAAATAAAATTAAAAAAAATAATCCCTCAGCATTGCATGTCACAGTCAGTAAAACTTCAGAAAGTAAACAAACGATAAAATTGTTGATGTTTTTATGAAACGCATGGCTATAATAAGAGTAATCATATCATTTAGTTAAACTAGCACCCTTTGAGGAAGAGTTTTGGATGAAATTTTTTCTGTTCAGACTCTGATCTGATACTTTTCAGATAATGAAAAAACTTAATATTTGAAATTCTTTATACATAGGTCAAATCAGAAATTAATCTAGACCTGTGAGTGTATGCAAAAATAGAATACAGATAAAAAGAAAAGATAGAATGAGTCGGGAGAACAAGGAGAGACATTGAGCTGTATCTTATGCATTGTGCTCTGTCCGCATGCACCAAATAGAGTCCCAAAAAATATGTTGATTTTTCTGGATTGCCACTTATCCATGTCATTCTCAGTTTCGATACACAGATTTATTAGACATCCCAAATCACATATACCAAACAATCCCATCAAAAGGCTTGTAGTGTCATATAGCCATCTCATAAAATTTCCTCTCAACTTCCTGGGCATCCTATGATCACATAAAATAAGCACATCCCAAATGCCCAACAAATTCCAGCAATATTACAATGTGCAAAATTCTCCATTCCCAGCAATATAACAAGCTAATCCCATAGCAAATTTTATCACTAAAACAATGAGCAAAACACTCCATTCCCAGCAATATAGAAAGCCAAACCCACAGCCAATTCCAGCAGAGATCCCGCCTGAGAGTAAAAACAAAACAAAGCGAGAAAATTTCCAAAGCAAACACTACAAAATTGAACTTAACATACCCGAAACAGGAGTCATTTGGTTGAGGAAAAGGGCATCACTGCTGTAGGTGGTGACTGGCCTCAATTCTACCATACATAAACCTGGGGAGCCAATGGGATAATGTGGGCAAAAGGCAACTGTTGATAGCCAATGGGATAATGTGGGCAAAAGGCAACTGTTGTTACATTTGTAATAGCTCCTGAAACTCAAAACACCCTGCCAGAAACCGAACCAAAACCCATGACCAAGGCCCGTTAGGATGAACTGGAAAACTACCAGGCATGGTTCCAAGGCTGAGTATTGCAAGAGCGGGAGCAACCGAAAGCCAAGATACGAAAAACCAGGAAAAACTTAGAGTCAGAGGAGCAACCGAACACCACAAAAACAAGAAAACTAGGAAACATAGGTTGGACCTCTTAACTAGGTATGGCCCCGTTGCTGCCCGAAATGAGCTGTGTTCCAAACTCTCCGAAACATTATGAACAGGAAGCCAAAAGTAAAGCGATGCTGCACAAAATCGCAGGTAATCTCCTGAATGAACATCATTGAGGTCTCTTCAAGTGGAGCTGGACAAAAAATTTTGGCCGAACTCCTTTAAGTGCATAAATAAAACAGTACTAAACCACCAAAAGCAAATTATTAGTAAACTGCTTTTAGCCAATGAAAAGAAAATTAAGAAAAAGATCTCCAAGTGGAACAAGTACTCTAAACCACCAAAGCAAATGCATCATGGGCCATTGGCATTACCAGTTAGATGTATAGATCTACAAGTAAAGGAAATTAAAAGGATACAAAATTGCCTAATACAATGTATGACACCACAGATAACAGTTAATACAATGGATTTTTCTAAGAAAATCATTATAGCATAACAAATAATGATGATGATCGGTTTAAACCACTTAACCTGTTGTTAAGTAGTGTAACAGAACTGCCTGTTATAGGAAAGCAGCTCAAAAAGTATGAAAAGTAGGGACAAAAGTTTCATAGACACCAAATGAATTCATTCAAAACAGTAATTTACCTCAAATTTCTGTTGGATTATATATTTTTCCTGAACTTTTTTGAAAAGCAAAACGCAAAAGATACACAACGGGTTTTACTAAACTTTCTTGAAAAAGGTTGTGGGCTTAATATTTTTTTGACATAAAGAAAGTTAACATTAAAGAAAAAAAATGATCAAAAGGTTCGACAGACGAGCACCATGTCAATCCAAAAAACCCACACAATCGGCAGAGCTAAACACAACGTCGAATCATATGGTGTAACTGGAAAAACAGCCCCAAAAGCGTCGCAACCGAGCACCAATTCGAACCAAAAACCCAACAATTCGAGAGCTACAGCTCGTGAATCATTATGTGTAACTGGAAAAACAAAGATAAACATACTTGAAAACTTAGAAACTGTTAGAAAGATCTTGGGTCTTGTTTTTGAGCTGATATCAAGAATCATACTTGAGACTTTTTATCCTTATCTGCAGGAGCAAAAACAAAGATAACATATGATATCTTCTAGTACACTGAAGATGATGCATTCTTCCAAGTAGTTGTATTGCCAAGCCATTGAAGTTGAATATTTCTCAGTCTTGTTGTGGATCCACAGGTTCAAACATGTAAGTATAAATTTATTCCATGCTCCACATTGTTATGTATTTTTAAGATGAAATAGTTTATCTCCTTACTTTCAATCAGGTTTGCTATCGGAAAAATCTTCCCTTGACATCGCATTATCTATATATATTTACTGGGTTCTCTATATTTTCCTAAGAGTGATGTTGTATCCAATATATTGTTTTTGGAAACAAAATTATGTGGCAATCAAAAAATTATTCTCAACAGAGTTGACAGTAAAAAACTATTACAGGAGAATGGCTTGATTAAAAAATTAAAAAAATCCACCTATTAACATAAAGTTTCAGTTTCCAAGAATTAGAATGATCTGGCATATTTATCATTGAAATTTTTTATTTGAATTTGGGGTAAAGAGATAGTTTTTGGAGAGTCTCTTCCCAATCAACCTAGCTTTATACGACAACCCTTTGGAACTAAAAAAGCTATGCTAAAATTGCACGAAAATAACAGCAGTTACCACAATGCAATGTCAGGGTTTAACAAAACAAAATAAAATCTGTGACAAAAATTCCCCCAATAGAGAATTTCAAAAATGATACAATATCAAGTCTTCTAATAGAAAGGTGGTTAAAAATTAGATTATTAAATTTTCAAAAACTGAGAGTAAATCAAAATGAACGTACCTCAACTCCTTTGCCTCCCGTCATTTGTGATTAGCAATTGGCTGAGAAAATCCCACTATGTAAAAGAAAATTTCTCTCTTTTTCTTGATTGTTCCCCTAATATACCTATTAATAGTTGCGAAAAATCACTCAGGTGAAAAAAGTAGAGGGAAATTTAGGAGGGAAAGGAGTAGAGGGAAACAATTTAGGGGGAAAGTTTTTCACCTGATTTCGCTGCTGATTTTCACTGCCGAACCCTCACAAGATCCCACTATGTAAAAAATTTCTCTCTTGTTCTTGATTGTTCCCCTAATATACCTACTAATAGTTGGGAAACTCAGGTGAAAAAAGTAGAGGGAAATATAGGAGGGAAAGGAGTTGAGGGAAACAAATTGGGGGGAAACATTTTCACCTGATTTTCACTGCCGACCCAAGCAATCCAGATGAAGATATTTTTCCTAATTCCTCTGCTTGCCCTCGCGGGAGAAGGCGGAATAAGCCTTGTTCCGCCTTCTCACGCGTAATAGTAAACCCTTGGGATAACGGGGTTAAACGGGTTAAAATGATCACGTGCGGGTTAACAAACACTTTGGCTTTTTTTATTGTTTGGCAGACTAATGAAGGGTTAAACCCCCTTAACCCTCCATTTACCCCTTTGCCAAACACAGCCAAACAGTACTAAAACTGATCACAATGGATAAAATAAAATTTATTTAACGGGTTAAAAATTTAGTCCTTCAGATTATCAAATGGACTAACTATATTAATCATTCTCTTTTAACCCCTCTTTCTTAACCCTTTGCCAAACAGGGCCAAAGAGAATAATAATGAAAAAGAGAAGAGGGTTAGGCATAGCGAACCCTTGGACACTAATAAATAAGTATAGGCTAAACTATATATATAAATTTATCCTATTCATGTTTTTCACAAAACAACATAAAATTTGGAAAATAATGATTTGACCTTTTAAAAATTTCCGAGTCTGTTCAATAAAAATCACGCCTTCATCGTATAGTAGGAATCAGCCAATCTCCTCAACATCCACTGAAAGATTCTCACGCTCTGGAAACTCTACTGAATAAAACTGAAACATGAAAATATAAAACGTACGCATGGCCAGCATCTGATATTATTGGACAAAAAGAAGACTTAAACATACAACAAAATTCACGCTGAAACCTCCCCACAAATTTACAGTAATGCCCATTGAAGTCTCGACGTGACTTCGCAAATTTTATCCCCTGCAACTCTCATCAAGTATTTATTGGACACTTTGATTTCTACTATGATGCTCGGTTTCTTTGTACGTGACGCGAAGACCTTGGGAACATAAAACGTAGCGAGCTTGAGATTATTAGACACGAGTACTTGTATATATATCTCTCTATATAACCCCAGACATGAAGTAGCTCACTTCTGAGATTTGATCAGATTCCTGATGACATAATGAAGAATGCCGCCATGGTCGAAGTAAGCCAACTCCACCTGCGAAAAACAGTTTCAGTTCAATTAATGCAGGAACAAAACAGCGAGATGAATAAGATGGAACCAAGCAAATCAGTGGGGGCAGTTCCCGAATTCAAAACTGTAACATATGATAGCAGTGAGTAAACTAAAAGAATAATGATAATCTGCATCTCTCAGTGAGTAAACTTTTGGAAAGGAAGCAGTGAGTAATCCTTCTCTTAGATTTGACTTCCACAAAGATAAAGACTGATTCAAAGAAAATTATACGAAATGGATAGGAGAAGTAATAGATGAGAAGCCGAGGTGGAAGAAATGTAGTCTGTCCTAAACAAACACAGAATGAACCGAGTAGCAGCTCAAAGTGACAGGATAGAGTTTAGCTAAGGCAAGCAACATTTAACTGAATGAACTAAAATTATAAGTCTATGCCCGTCGATAATTTAAATACTTATCTCTTTCCAGTATAAAAGAGAATAATCTTCCACTAATGTTGAAATTAGTGCACGCAAGCTTGAGGATGTTGAGATGAGCTAATAAATGAATTATGCGCGCTCAAGAGCAGAAGCTTATTTTAAAATCAAACTAAACAAAATCCCATTTTTCCAGCGAGTGAAGTTGAGATCCGCAAGATAAAGTAAAATTACGCACCTCAGTATCAAAGCGACAAGTACAAGTGAACGATTTCCCAGCATCTGTTACTACTGTGACATCCTGACCAGGTCGTATCTCGCTGATGTTGCTTGGGAGGTCAATTGAATACCGCTCGTGACCAGTCAAGCCCAGTGTATCAGCATCCTCACCAGGTTTGAAACACAGCGGAATTATACCCATACCAACTAAGTTGCTGCGATGGATTCTCTCAAAGCTCTTAGCAATCACCGCTTTCACTCCCTGAGATGGGGAATAGATACTAAATTAAAAGAGGAAAGTGATATAGGAAATAAACCATTGGTAAGAAAATGATAACACACCAGCAACATTGGGCCCTTGGCAGCCCAATCCCGTGAGCTTCCACTACCATATTCTGCTCCGGCAATGACTATGGTGTCATGCCCATCAGCCTTATACCTCTGTGAGGAAAGAAATATTCACATTAGGAAGTAGCAACATCAGGTACCACCTCAAATTATGGTTTGAATTAAGCTCACCACATCATTTCATGACATTACAACATGAAAACCATACGACCCGGGACTTTCTAACTATCAACAAACAAATGCAAATTCACTGCTGAAATAAAACTGGAACATCTTTTGACTTGCTGATATCCTTGATAGTTAAAACTATGTCAAAAATTCATGTAGTTCCTTGAAGATGCAAGTAATAATCAGACATATTACAGATTAAAAAGATTCCTTAAAATATGAATATAAGAGAGGCATTGTTCTCCTGATGGTAGAAGCTTTTGATATTTCACGCCATTTTTACTGCAACATACCACTTTTGATTAGCTATAACTTACTATGAGGTCCTTAAATCCTTGATAACCAACATAATACATTTAATAATAGCTTCATAACGATCTAGTTCTCTTAGCCAAATCTGATATATCCATCATTCTCCGAAACTTGATTATCCAATGTCTTTTTAAAACTACATATTTAAAAGTATGATGGTGACAGCAATCAGACAACTGTTCAGTGACTACAGTCTCTAAAAAACCAAAAATTATAGAAAGAAGAAATTTTTGCAGACCTGCATTTTGAAGTTACAACAAAAGGAGCATTTCAGTCAGCTTGTAGAAAAAGATTTACGATCTACTATTCCAAGTACTCTTATGTGTCCAATTATTTGTCCAAACCAGAACAATAATGGCACTTATGCAAGCTTGCTACAATTCAATGCAAGAACTATATTATAAAGATAAAACAGTCAGCCGGTCCGACGCTTCTAAGATGTCGAGTAGGAACTCACCATTGCCACATCATACACATAAAGCTTCTCGCCTGTTGGAATGTGGATTGTCTTTGGTCCCACTTCTCCCTTCAAAAGTTTATTCACAATGCGAATGTTAGCAAAAGTACCCCTAGCCATCACTTCATCATTGCCACGACGGCTGCCATAAGAATTGAAGTCTTTGCGGTCCACTCCTCGCTCAACGAGGAACTTTGCAGCTGGGCTATCCTTGTGAATGCTTCCTGCTGGTGAAATGTGATCGGTTGTAATACTATCTCCAAAGTTCAACAAACAGTAAGCATCTTTCACTCCATGGGGTCCAGGTGGATCCATAGTCATATTTTTAAAGTAAGGGGGCTCGTGAATGTAGGTAGAACTAGGATCCCATGAGTAAAGAGTTGAGGCTGGGACTGAAAGCTGGTTCCACATTGGATTGCCTTTAGTAATTGCCTCATAAGTGCTCTTGAACATATCTGGCAATACATTTGATTGAACAACCTGTGAAAATATACTTTAGGTCAGAAATTAGTAAAAAAAAAAAAATTATTCACTGAATCTTGCAACTTTTGTGTCTTATGACGAACGGTGATATTAATGATGTTTGTGTGCTCAAGAAACCATGTCCCACAAAGTGAAAAGTAAAACATTTGTTTCACAAATTCCCCGGAAAATTTGAAAACATCTGTTCACTGAAACTTGCAACTTTTGTCTCTCATGACAAACGATAATATTAATGAAGTTTTTGTGCTCAAGAAACCATGTCCCATGAAGTGAACACAAGACATTTGTTTCACGTATTTTCTGGAAAGATTGAAAAGATATCTGTATCCGGTAGGTCAAGTGGCGCTTATTATGTATTAGAGTGAGACAAAAAGAGGCCGAGTGGCAAGTTAATGAAGTTCTGTTGCATTACCTCCGCTATTTCTTCTGAAGATGGCCATATGTCCTTGAAATATACATTTTCCCCATCCTTTCCTGTTCCAATTGGTTCTTTTTCGAAATCAATGTCAACCTGAAGATGTTAAACAGGCAAAAACTCAGAGAGCATCGCAGTTACATGCAAATTGCAGGTGTGCAGCGAAGGAACTACTCTCCACTGGCATATGAGCCCAGAAGAATATGAACACGAGTAATTCTCATCCACAAGCATGAAAAACTAGTATAATTACCGTGCCAGCAAGAGCATATGCTACAACAAGGGGAGGTGAAGCAAGATAATTCGCACGAGTGAGGGGATGGACCCGGCCCTCAAAGTTCCGATTTCCAGAAAGAACGGCAGCAGCAACAATGTCTAACAAAAGCAATATCATATATGATGTATGAGATTTCTAATGAAATATTGAACAAAAAGAGATAAAAAACAGGGGTACAGAAAATAGAACTGAGGCTACCATTTTCTGTGATTGCTGAAGCAACAGATTCATCAAGATCTCCCGAATTTCCAATACATGTTGTGCAACCATATCCAACTATATGAAAGCCTTGCTGATTAAGATACTTCTGTAAGCCACTGGAAGTAGAAGCAAAAAATAATGTGACATTCATGAACTTAAGACTTATTGAATGTATATTTAAAAAGAGGGAAAACATGAGCCACTTAATCTATTCGATTCAGAAATCTAGTACCTCTTCTGTAAATATTTTGTAACAACTCCTGAACCAGGGGCAAGACTTGTTTTAATCCACGGTTTGACCTGGCAATTCAGTACTGAGTTACTCGAAAAAAACAAACAAAGAAACAAATGCAGCAGAGAGGTCAAGATGTGCATCACTTAGAAACTAACAAGTTTAAACTGAAATAAAAATAGAAGCAAAAACTGACCTCAAGACCTAATTCACAAGCCTTCTTTGCAACAAGGGCAGCACCAAGCATGACACTAGGATTCGAAGTGTTGGTGCAACTTGTAATGGCTGCTATGACCACACTGCCATGTCGAAGCTCTGCAGGTTGTCCGTGAAAAGAGAACTTTACAACTTTTCCTTGTGATTCCTTTGGTACTGCAAATCCCTGACAAAACAAATTCAAACACTCAGGAAAAACATATATGATAATAATCACAGAATGTGGTAAGATATATAGAATTTAATTGGAACTTTATGATGTAAACACCTGAAGGGTGAGGCATGAGCAAAATCTACATGATGTACCACAAATTTATAACTATTTTGGTGTATTCTCAGTTTTAGTAAAGCAATTCAGATGTATTACTCTTCACAACATTATTGAAATTCAAGCGAAGCTACTAGATTGGCAAGAAAATACAGAAGTTGGGGAAGTACATACATCAAACAAGTAGCAGGAAGATAGACCATATGTTAGAAGTTCTGCAAGTGAGAACTTACTGCATTGATCATTTATTTTATATACAAACTAAATGTGACCCTCAATGTTGGTTTTGGAAGTGTGAAGACCGAAACATGAAGAAGAAATCATCAAAGAAACAGAAAAACCCAGATCGGTTGACCGACAAGCTTGGTCCAGGACTGCAGGAAAACAACCCAGAAATTCACTCTGGCCGGTCGACCGAAGCTTGATGACGGTCGACGGAGAGTGGTCATCCGGTCGACCGAAAACGTGCACAAAGACCCTGTAAGAAACTGACGTTCTTGCCGGTCGACCGACTCGCATGGTCCGGTCGACCGAAAGCGGTTTTTCCAGTTTCCTAAATCGTTTGGGATTCTATTTTGGGCTGGGTTTATATATATATCCTAATATGTTTTTAGGGTTATGCTAGGGCTTGTTGAACACGAAAAAGAGGGGTTTTGACGGCTCTTTGAGATTAGAAATCTTAGAGAGAGAGAGCCAATTGTGAGCATTGTAATCTTCTTCAATTAATCAAAGAATTGTGTGGTGTGGCTCCCGAGGATGTAGGCACGTTTGTCGAACCTCGTTAAATCTGGTGTGTTCCTTCTTGTTTATCTTTCCTATAATTTTTTTTATTTGCAGTGATTTTCCTACTTGTTAAACTCTTAGCACAAGATCCGAAAGGGCACAGGTTCGATTGATTATTTCGAATCCCCAACAACTAGTATCAGAGCTTCGTTCAGGAGATTTGTGCAAGAACCATGGCAGAGGAAAATAAATCAAAGATCGAGAAGTTTGACGGATCAGACTTCGCCTACTGGAAGTCGTAGATGGAGGACTATTTATACCAGAATGATCTTTATCGTCCATTGATGAGCAAGGCTAAGGGAAAGGAGGAATCAGACAAGGAATGAGAAATATTGGATCGAAAGACTAGGGCAGATCCGATCGTTACTCGCCAAATTAGTCACCCATAATATATTGAAGGAGAAGACGACGGTGGGGTTTATGTAAGTGCTCGCGAAGATGTACAAACAACCGTCAGCCGTAAACAAGGTGCATCTCATCAAAACGTTCTTCAACCTCAAGATGGCAGAAGAATGCTCACGATGCACCTCAGCGAGTTCAACACGTTAGTTGATCAATTTATCTCCGTGGACATCATGTTTGATGATGAAGTGCAGGTCCTATTGATTCTATCGCAGTTACCGGATAGTTAGGCAGATTGCGTGATCGTAATTAGCAACTCGACGGGAAATGAGAAGTTAAAGCTGAGCGAGGTTATTAACATGATTTTATCTGAGGAGGTTAGAAGAAAATCGTCCGAATCAGAAGGTTCAGTTCAGCCTTAAATCTCGAACAGAGAGGCCGAAGCTAGAAGAAGGGTAACCAGAACAGTAATCGGTCGAAGTCAAAGAAGAAGAGGTTGAACTCGAAGGTTAGGCCTATCAAAGAAAAATGTTGGAACTGCGACCAGGAAGGCCATATGTCTTCAATCTGTAAATCACAAGAAAAAGGATGCGAATGAGTAGGAGACTCATATCGTGCCAAGATGCATTGATCCTTGCTATGGATAGCAATTCTAATTCATGGGTAATTGATTCAGAAGCCTCTTTCTATGCCACTGATAATAGGATGCTTCTTCAAAACTATGTAGCAGGGGTATTTGTGAAACTATACTTGGGGGATAACGAGGCTCGTAGTATTGTTGGAAAAGGCGACATGCATATTCAGATGAAAGACTCTAAATGGAATCTGAAGAATGTCAGACACATACCAAAGCTAAAGAGAAATCTTGTTTCGATAGGTCAGTTTGAAACAAAAGGCTATATTTTAATATTCACCGGAGATTCGTGAAAAATCTTCAACGGTACTATGATGGTTGCCCGCGGCAACAAAACAAACTCTCTATCTCACTTCACATGCGAGTGACACCATTATAATTACAGCTGGCAATGAGAGTGCAGATTTATGGCATAATAGGTTGGGACACATGAGTGAGAAGGGTATGAAGATTCTACTCACAGGGAAAGCCAACTGGCATCGATTCAGTGGAAATTGGTATTTGCGAGGACTACATCTACGTGAAGTAGAAGAGGGTTAGTTTTCAGAAGAGCGGAAGGCCACCTAAAGCTCAGAAGGTGGAGCTTATTCATACAAATGTATGAGGCCCAGCTAACGTGTCTTCTCTTAAGGGTTTGACGTACTATGTTAGCTTTATCGACGCCCCTTAAAAGTCAATTCAAGTTATCTGAGGAGCAATCGCCCAAGACAGATACAGAGAAGGAGAACACGAGTAGAGTGCCATACTCATCAGCCATTGGTAGTCTTATGTACGCGATGATTTGCACGAGACCGAATATCGCCCATGCAATGGGAGTTATGAGCAGGTTTGCAAGCAATCCAAGGTAGCAGTATTGGGAGACCGTGAAGTGGATATTGCGTTACTTGAGACGGACTACGGATATGTCATTGTGTTTCAAGAGGAAAGAATTGGTACTGCGGGGGTACGTGGATGCAGATTTCACCCTGGCCGGTCGATCGAAGCTTGATGACGGTCGACGGAGAGTGGTCATCCGGTCGACCGACACGAGGACTCCGGTCGACTAAAAACGTGCACAAAGACCCTGTAAGAAACTGACGTTCTTACCGGTCGACCGACTCACATGGTCCGGTCGACTAAAAGCGGTTTTTCCAGTTTCCTAAATCGTTTGGGATTCTATTTTGGGCTGAGTTTATATATATATCCTAATATGTTTTTAGGGTTATGCTAGGGCTTGTTGAACACGAAAAAAGAGGGGTTTTGACGGCTCTTTGAGATTAGAAATCTTAAAGAGAGAGGCCAATTGTGAGCATTGTAATCTTCTTTAATTAATCAAAGAATTGTGTGGTGTGGCTCCCGAGGATGTAGGCACGTTTGCCGAACCTCGTTAAATCTTGTGTGTTCCTTCTTGTTTATCGTTCCTGTAATTTTTCTTTTATTTGCAGTGATTTTCCTACTTGTTAAACTCTTAGCACAAGATCCGGAAGGGCACGGGTTCAATTGATTTTTTCGAATCCCCAACACTCAAGAGTAAAATCTATCAAACCCTGATACAAAGAAAAAACAACACCTACAAAGTTGTTAACATAATATAAAAGCCAAAGTCGCACCTTGAATCCCATTTTGTTGTCAAGACAGGCATGCCAATCTGTTTTCATCTCCTTTAACAGAACTCGATCATGAGGTCTGAGATAAGCATTATGAGATACTTACAATTATATATCTAAGGAAAAGAAATAAATTTAGATATACCGGAAGATAATAAGAGAAAACTCCAAAAGCCCGACCTCTTTGGACCAGAAACGCAAGGATCGACCTCAGCAAGGTCCAACTCCAAGTAGGACGAGTATAATCTTTCCTTCTGAGGCTGATTTTCGATAACAAAATAAGTTATCAGCCAACTCTAGGATGTGATAATGTGTACCTAAGTTAGAGAGGAAATTACGTCTACCTCACTATAATCAACAAACATCTTGTTTGCCCGCAATGTGTACCTAAGTTAGAGAGGAAATTACGTCTACCTCACTATAATCAACAAACATCTTGTTTGCCCGCAGATATTCCTCGATCATAGCTCACTATAATCAACAAACATCTTGTTTGCCCGCAGATATTCCTCGATCATAGCCACCTACAGAATAAAAAACAGTTAATTAGATGACAAACAGGTCATTTCAGAAATTCTGAACTTCTACAATATCTTAGGAATTTATCTTGAGTCTTGACAACGTCGTAGGCCATAACTAATGCTAATTTTGACACTCACAGTTTCATCACTTCTTCCAGTCAACCTTAGATACTGTAAGGTAACATGATCTACAGGAAAGAATCCCATGGTTGCCCCATACTCAGGTGACATGTTAGCAATAGTTGCCCTATCAGCCAGTGATAACTCACCCATACCACTGCCTGCAGAAAACGAAGGATTTAAATACAGGAAAGGAAACAGAAGAAAGATTGTATCTATTACTATTCTGATGCATCGCAAGTTACCATAGAACTCCACAAACTTGCCGACTACACCATGCTTCCTCAACATCTGTGTCACAGTCAAAACAAGATCCGTTGCCGTAACCCCATCACGTAGTTTTCCGGATAGCTTGAACCCGACAACCCCAGGCAAAACCATGCTCATAGGCTGTGAAATTAGATCAAACAATAGCAGGGCCTTGGTCAACATGAATGGTTAAAGCAATACAAATAATGACATGATTACTTAATTTGTTTCTTCGTCAAAACAGAAGAACTAGTTGCCTCAGGCAACAGGGCATTTAAAGTCATAACAAGAATCACAGTTAGTTGACATCAGAGGGGCAGTTGTGATGAAACACGAACAAAGAACGATTGCAACAAAATAGTCGAAGTTAGCAGTAGCATTTGTGAATATCCAAAACATGACTATACAAAAAATACAACAGTTTGAGCTCACTTGACCAAGCATTGCAGCCTCCGCTTCGATACCTCCAACTCCCCATCCAGCTACTCCTAATCCGTCTATCATTGTTGTGTGAGAATCAGTTCCAACCACACTATCTGGGTACAACATGCCTTCAGTATTGAAAACAACACGGCCAAGGTATTCCAAGTTAACCTGAAAATTTCCCATCACATCGAAAGCCATATTATACTTTGCATGTCCACACTTAGCATCTCCCTCATGCTCGTTAAGGTAAAAGAAAGGCCCCTGTTCATCTTAGGCAGCAACTTGCAACATACCTGGTGAACAATACCTGAGCCAGGAGGAACAACAAGCATATTGTGGAAAGCAGTAGACCCCCATTTAAGGAAACCAAATCGCTCTTTGTTCCTCTGGAACTCAAGTTCCATGTTTGCCTGAACTGCATTTTCAGATCTTGCCACATCTACCTGCACAGAGTGGTCAATCACAAGATCTACTGGAACCTGAAAGAAAAAAGAACAATGCAAAAGAAGTGAAGCAGCAACCAAAGCAGAAGTTTAACAACAAAAATAAAAGCAAAACTCAATATCAAGCAGCAATATGCAATTCGAATAGTTGCAATAAGGGTTTTCCGCAAGATATTTTCAGTACGTGATTGCGAAAAATCATTACAATAATAAGAAAATCAACCATTCCAGTGAAGCAAGAATACCAAGAGTACAAATTAAGCATACTGGAGTTAATTAAAACTTAGGCCCCTGAGGTATCTGTACCATGAATTTAAAGTAAATGAAACATTGTACCCAAGCAACTAGTAACAAGCCAACATGAAGGTTAGGGATATCATTACCAATGGATTGATCTTATTAGAATCACTTCCTAGCTTGTTCATAGCATCTCGCATACAGGCCAGATCGACAACAGATGGCACACCAGTAAAATCCTGCCAACAACAGAAAAAATGTCAATAAGCAGAGCGCGAAGAAAACGAGGGTATCATCTGTATTCTGTGTGACAAACCTGCAGAAGAACACGTGCAGGCTTAAATGGAATCTCAACTTGCTTTGGGGAGGTATTCTCCCAGTCAATAATCTTCTCGACATCATTCTTTGTGACCTGGAAGTTATCACAGTTCCGGATGGCTGACTCAAGAAGAATCCTAATAGAATACGGTAGCTTGTCTGCACCCCCCCAAAAAAAAAGGTAAAAACTTCTTTCAGATAACCATGTGGCACTGACGCTAGAAATAGGTTTTTTTTAAAAAAAATTGTTGTAAACAACCATATTAGACATAGGAAAGTTTCCAAACTCTAACGCACTTCTTATTTTCTCTCAAAAAGAAGCTCAAAAGAAGCACAAAAGCATAGAATAGAAGATATTTGTCACTTGATGTAGATGACATAAAGAGAAACCCAGAAAAAATTAGGGTGTGCTCGTGCATGTGTCCGACACATGCACATGTATGAAATGAAGGTGTCAAATACATAAGCCGAAACGCAGCAGTATCGAGAAACTTCAACAGTCCTATGTCCAGGGTTTGCAGAGAAGCGATCATCCAATTGACACCCGGTAACAGTGTCTGCGCGTGCGCGCCGCAAGCAGTTCCATACGCCCCCGTCTCTGATTGGTCAGCCCCACACTGCATGAATGGAGGCTAGCACAACTGCAAGCATACCTCTACTAATTATCATACATCTTTTCGACAGGCACATTCATCAAATCTACTTATCATACATCTTTTCGACAAGGGTTAGTAAAAATCGAAAGCCTAATTGAGACGTAAACCCTGTCCCCCTCCACCCCCCACAAGGCAAAATTAAACACACGCACACGAAACGCGCACGCGCGCGCAGCACAAAGATTGGAAAAAATGAAGTAATTGAGATTAATTAGAAATTAGAGAGTTTACCGACTCTTGGGTCATTGAGAGCAGGCAAACTGTAGTACTTTCCGAACTCTCCTCCTCCTCCCGGCCTCGGAAGGCTTGTCAACACGCCTTGAAACGCATGATCGGTGGCTGGATGAGAACAAATAATTAAGTAGTCAGCGCGCAGATTTCAAAAAAGGAAAAAAAAAACTAAAACCTATGTACTTAGTAGAACAAGAACTACTACCAAGTGTAGCCATTCTCCTCTCGAATCGCCCGGCGACGGCGAGACTGATCGATCTCGAAGAGCTCAGAGCGCCGGCGGGAGCTGCGGCTTTCAGAGAAGAGGAGGAGGAAGAGGAGGAGGAGAGCTTTCTGACGAGCGACGAAGAGGGAGACGAGGTGATGGATTTATACATGATGATGATGATGATGATGGGAACGGGATAAGATGATGAGGTTCGTTAGACCGAAGAGGATGGGGTCGGTGTTTAGAGTGGCGTGCCGGTTGGGCTTTTCTTCTTCTTTTTTTTCTTTTTTTTTTTCGTGAGGGCGGAGCTCTGGAAGTTTCCTTTTTTTACGCGCGCTGGAAGGTGGAAGAAGGACACGTGGCGATGGGACAGGCGCTTACGTGGGAGCTGATGTGAGGGTAGTGAAAATGATTTGTGGGGAGTGGTTACTTGGGGTCAGATTAGAGTGGAATGAGGGAATGTAGTTTTTCCAACGGAGTTTAAAAAAAAACCATTTTTGCTAAATAATTAGTAAAATCGGCCGTTTTGCTAATTATTTAATAAGACCGGCCTCTTTTTGGCTAACAGATCAGTTTTGAAGAAAAAAAATCTTTTTGCTAAATAATTAGCAAAATCTTATATGTTTTTATTGTCATTTTAGTCATTTCAACCCATTGATATATAATTTTGCGGAGTCCAAAATTCACAATTTCATGAGTTATTACCTGAGTTTTTGGCTATTTTCAGTCATTTTGACTTGTTGATAAATAACTTTTTCGGATGCTGATATTCACGATTTAATGAGCTATAAGCAATAATTTTTACCCATTTTTAGTTGTTTTGACCCATTAGCAAATAACTTCGCAGATGCTAAAATTCACGACTTCGTAAGCTATAACTTGACCATTTTTAGTTGTTTCAACCAATTGGTAAATTATTCTGCGGTAGCTAAAATTTATGATTTCATGTGCTATAATCCACAATTTGTGATAATTTTGGTGATTTCTACTCATTGGTAAATTATTTGCGGAAGCCAAAATTTACGATTCATAAGTTATAACCCATGAATTTTTCTACTTTTAGTCATTTTAACTCATTGGCAAATAATTTCACAGAGATCAAACTTCAGGATTCATGAGCTATAACTCAGAATTTTTGGATATTTTCAGTTGTTTTGTATCATTAGTAAATAATTTAGCTTAGACCAAAATTTAGGATTTCTTGAGCTATAACTCATAATTTTTGGCTATTTTTAATCATTTCGACATGTTAGTAGATAATTTTATGGAGGCTGAAATTCGCGATTTAATGAGTTATAACCTATAATTTTTTGCCATTTTTAGTTATTTCCACACGTTGGCAAATGACTTAATAGAGGGTAAAATTTACGATTTTGCGAGCCATAACCCTTAATTTTTGGCTGTTTCTAGTTGCTAATAGCAAAATTCATGATTTCATAGGCTATAACCCAATGATTATTGGCTATTTCTAATTGTTTCGACTAGTTGGCAAATAATTTTGTGGAAGTCAAAATTCACGATCTCATGAGGTATAATCCATGTTTTTCTATTTTAAATCATTTCTATTCATTGGTGAATAATTTCAAGGATGTTCAAAATTTATGATTTTATGAGCTATAATCCACGATTATTGGTAATTTTTAGCCTTCTTGACTTATTAGTAAATAATTTTGTGGAGTCCTAAATCACAATTTCATAATCTATAATCTATATTTTTAGCTATTTTTAGTCACCTTGATCTATTAGCAAATAATTTCACACAGGACACAATTCAAAATTTAATGAGCTACCCATGGTTTTTGGCCATTTCTAGCTGCATCCACCCATGGCAAAAAATTATGCAATAGCCAAAGTTCATGATTTTGTGATCAATAATCCGCAAGTTTTGGCTATTTTTATTCATTTTGAATCATTGGCAAATAATTTTGCAGTAACTATAATTCATAACTTCATGAGCTATAAACCAAGATTTTCAGCAATTTATGGTCATTTGACCCACTAACAAATAATTTTCGGAGACCAAAGTTCATAATATCATAAGCTATGACTCATAATTTTTTTTGTTGTTTCGACCAGTTGACAAATAATTTCACAAAGGCTAAAATTTAGGATTTCATGAACTATAGTGCATAATTTTTAGTCATTTCGATGCTAAAATTCTCGATTTCATGAGCTGTAACCCATAATTTTTACATTTTTACTCATTTTGACTCTTTGGCAAATAATTTGGTGAAGGCCAGAATTCACAATTTTATGAGCTATAGCCAACAATTATTGGACATTTTTAGTCATTTTTACCCACTAGCAAATAATTTCGTGGATGCCAAAATTCACGATTTTATGAGCTATAACCTATAATTTTTTGTCATTTTTAGTCATTTTGACTTGCTAGCAAATAATTTTGTAGAGGCTAAAACTTACAATTTCATTAGTTATAACCCATAATTTTTTACTATTTTTAGTTATATCGACCCATTGACAAATAGTTTTGTGGTGGCCAAAATTCATGATTTTTTGAGCAATAAACCCGTGATTTTTTTGCTATTTTAGTCATTTTTGCAAAGAATTTCACGAAGGACAAAATTTACAATTTCATGGGTGATAGCCTACAGTTATTGACCATTTTTAGGCATTTAAGCCAATGGAAAATAATTTTACAGAGTCAAAATTTTACAATTTCAAGAGTTATAACTCATGATTTTAGCCATTTTTGATCATTTTGACTATTGGCAAATACTTCTGCAGAGACTACAATTCATGATTTCATGAACTACAAGTAATGACTTGTCGTTATTTTTTGTGGTTTTGGCTAATTCAAAAATAATTTCATGCAGGGTAGAATTCATAATTTCTTTAGCTTTAACCCGTGATTTTTGGCCCTTTTTTTGTCATTTTGACCGGTTGGTAAATACTTTCATGGAGGAAAAAATTCACGATTTCATGACTATAACCCATGATTTTTAGCCTTTTTATTTATTTCAATTCACTGGCAAATAACTTCATGAAGACCAAAATTCACGATTTAATGAGCTATAACTCACAAATTTTGGCTATTTTTAGTCATTTCGGCCCATAGTCAAAGAATTTTGGGGTGACTACAATTCATGATTTTGTGATTTATAACTCATAATTTTTACCTATGTTTAGTCATTTCTACCCTTAGCAAATAATTTTGAGGGGGCCAAATTCATGATTTTGTGAGCTATAACCCACGATTATTAGACATTTTTAATCGTCTCAAACTATTGGTAAATAATTTTGTGGAGTCCAAACTTCACGATTTAATGAGCTATAACCTAATATTTTGGCCATTTTTAGTTATCTCAACCCATTAACAAGTAATTTTGTTGAGTCTAAAATTCATAATTTCATAAACTATTAAGCTATGATTTTTGGCTATTTCTAGTAATTTCTATCATTGGCAAATAATTACACATATGACAAAATTTACAATTTCATGAGCTGTTACCATTAATTTTTGGCCATTTTAGTTGTTTTTATCCATTTGTAGATAATTTCATGGATGCAAAACTTCATGATTTTATGAGGTATAACACATACTTTTTGGTCATTTCTAGTCATCTCCCATTGGTAAATAATATCGCGAGCGCCGACATTCACGATTTTATGAGTAACCCAGGATTTTGGTCATTTTTAGTCATTTGACCCATTATTAAATAATTTCATATTGTTCAAAATTCACGATTCTATGAGCTATAACTGTGACACCCTTGTTTTCACACATGGCTACAGTCCAAGGTAAACCCAGAGATGTCAAACATGTCATTCACTCATACTGTGCAATAACAAGTTTCACCAATCACAGTAATATCCTCTAGTGGAATCAAAGTAAAGTGTAGGTACAAAGCAAGTAAAAGAAAGGAAATAACTACAACAGACATGATATAGAAATGAGTATCTCATAAATAAATCATGTCTCAGTGAACAATCTAGAATACATTCGACATCCGAAATAAATAAATATGTCTCGACATGAAACAGCTAAAAATGTAACTAAGGCTCATAGCCTTTACAAAATGTGATACAAAACTCTAATGTCCGAATGGAAATAACTCTACTATGGAGTCTCTACTAGTAACTCATGTGACGGCGACTATGCAACAACTCCGTCATCCTACGGCCCTACGATGCTCTGAGCCACCTGAAAGTTAAAATAAAATAAAATAAAAAGGACAATAACAAGAGCGTCAGAGCGCTAGTAAGATTACCTCCATCCGCCCCGGGAAGGGCTACTAAATGTAGTGGATGCTCTATCTATTAAGCATAGCCTACCTAAATCATTTTCCCCGTATATAAGGAAAATACTTGTTAATACATACATATAAGCAATCATCTACTCTGAAATGATCATTTTCCCCGTATATAAGGAAAATACTTGTTAATACATACATATAAGCAATCATCTACTCTGAAATAAATGGATGTTGATATTTAGAAATCCACAACACGAGCATAGGTATGTCGAATATCCCGTTAGCTCGATCAAGTTGTGAATAGCTAAATACCAAATCCAAAAGCTACTACATGGAGCAATAAGAAAAGACAACTCCATCTCAAACCATATCAAAGGAGTCCTGACAGATATCAGATACGTATCCAACACATGGACTTCACCTGCTACATATTAGATAAGACAACTCGAATAAGTGTCCTACACATGGACTATATATGATGAATGTCCAACATATGGATTGCAATAGATAAATATCTAACACGAGGACGGCATATAATTAAGGTCCAACACATGGGCCGCAATAAGTAAATGTCCAACACGAAGACTGCATATGATTAAGGTCCAACACATGAGCCGCAATAGGTAAATGTCCAACAGAGGACTGCATATGATTAAGGTCCAACACATGGGCCACAATAGATAAATGTCCAACATGAGGATTGTATATGATGAGCGTAATACAAATAAATGATGTAAGTAAAATGCATATATACTATTCACACTCGTGCCTCGGTGAGTGAATCCTAAACTCATGTACATAATCAACTCATGTGTAGAATACACAATTTACATTATATTAAAATACTAGATAACCCAGACAACTCGTCAGTCACACAAACACATGTAAACAACATGCACATGCACAAACAGGTCCAGCGGTCGACCGCTGCGACCACCGCGATCGACCGTGAAATGAGCAGAAAGACATTGCATAAAATATCACCCAGCGGTCGACCGCCGCGTCCACCGTGGTCGACCACGCAGAAACATAGAGCTTCGTGCACAAAAATG